GTTCAATTTGAACACTTCAGGCCATTGCTGTAAGGTTTATAATTATTCGCCACATTGTGCCAGGATGGGCCGCAAGTCGCGTGTACTCTTTGGAAAGTGCATGGTTTAGCCCAGGGTGGGTCAACGATTTAGTCATGTTCTTAACATTTACTTGGCGCATGTCTCACACGTCGAGCTGTATCCTACGATTTGTGTGTAAAAGAGTGGGCCAGTAAGTAACCGTTAAGATCTGGCCTAGTCTTTCATACTGTTTACTCCAATTGTGAGTGGCGTGCAGAATATCCATTACAGTGTTCTCAGTTTGCGGGAATACGACACGGGCTCCCCAAGTTAAACACCCAAGTTCATGGCTCTACTCGTCTCTTCTAGTCCAGAAGCTTTGAGATCCCGTACATTTAGATTTCTTCGGCCAAACATTCAGGGTGTATCCAAACTTGCTCAGAATCGGGTCTTTCGAGTGTCGTTCGCCACTAATCAGCATGAGTAAAGTCTCGCTCATAGTATTCAGTGCGACATATCACAAACTCGTTCTCTCTCCCTCACAGAGGTGTGTTACCGATTTGGCCGCCTGGATAACATATCAGCGTTAGCATGATTCTTGGTATTTCGATATTGAATTGTCATTATGGTTATTATAAGGTATAAAGCCCACCTAGTTACCTACGGCAGTCTTCTATGGGAATTGGCTCTATGCCAAATATACGAACCAGCGCCGATGATCTGTCACCAAGGTAAACTGTCTCATATACAAGTAAATTATGTAAGGCGCTTTATGGACCACACTATGGACAGGGACTCTTTGTCACTTGAGCGTATTCCTTCGGCCGGTGACAGGGTCCGGGAGATGACTCAATGGGGCGTCATTCCCCATTCAGCATATTGTGAGACAAACACTGCGCCTTTGCCACGATTGAAGCATCAGTGTTCAGGATTTAAGAGGAGAAGCTTGGGTGATTGTAAATGGTCAATACACTGTTAGAAGCCAGCAGATTTTTCATATTTTAACGCTGTCTTTGCGTTATTTGTCCACACACTTTACATATTCTTAGCTCTCAGCCTTTCATTGGAGCAATCACGCGACAAGTTGGGCAAAATAGCGCTGTAATAATCACAGCCCCCAAAAATCTAAGTAGTTTCGGTGGGGCTAAACGGGAGGTTTTCCATTCCCGATGGGGTACCGGGGGGGGGGGGGGGTTTTTTCCCCCGGCTGTTTACCTGAAACCGCAGACCCCTATTCCAACGTTTCCAAACAGCATACAATAAAGAAGTGTCAAACAGCACATTTATCAAGACATATTCAAGGTATGCACAAAAGAGTAAGACTCCAAGTAAACAATACCCCCTAGAGGGAGCAGACGTCCTGATTCCCGGGATGAGACCGCTGTTACCCTAGAGGGAGCAGACGTCCTGATTCCCGGGAGGAGACCGCTGTTACCCTAGAGGGAGCAGACGTCCTGATTCCCGGGATGAGACCGCTGTTACCCTAGAGGGAGCAGACGTCCTGATTCCCGGGATGAGACCGCTGTTATCCTAGAGGGAGCAGACGTACTGATTCCCGGGATGAGACCGCTGTTACCCTAGAGGGAGCAGACGTCCTGATTCCCGGGATGAGACCGCTGTTACCCTAGAGGAAGCAGACGTACTGATTCCCGGGATGAGACCGCTGTTACCCTAGAGGGAGCAGACGTCCTGATTCCCGGGATGAGACCGCTGTTACCCTAGAGGGAGCAGACGTCCTGATTCCCGGGATGAGACCGCTGTTACCCTAGAGGGAGCAGACGTCCCGATTCCTGGGATGAGACCGCTGTTACCCTAGAGGGAGCAGACGTCCTGATTCCCGGGATGAGACCGCTGTTACCCTAGAGGGAGCAGACGTACTGATTCCCGGGATGAGACCGCAGTTACCCTAGAGGGAGCAGACGTACTGATTCCCGGGATGAGACCGCTGTTACCCTAGAGGGAGCAGACGTCCTGATTCCCGGGAGGAGACCGCTGTTACTCTAGAGGGAGCAGACGTCCTGATTCCCGGGATGAGACCGCTGTTACCCTAGAGGGAGCAGACGTCCTGATTCCCGGGAGGAGACCGCTGTTACCCTAGAGGGAGCAGACGTCCTGATTCCCGGGATGAGACCGCTGTTATCCTAGAGGGAGCAGACGTCCTGATTCCCGGGATGAGACTGCTCTTACCCTAGAGGGAGCAGACGTCCTGATTCCCGGGAGGAGACCGCTCTTACCCTAGAGGGAGCAGACGTCCTGATTCCCGGGAGGAGACCGCTCTTACCCTAGAGGGAGCAGACGTCCTGATTCCCGGGAGGAGACCGCTCTTACCCTAGAGGGAGCAGACGTCCTGATTCCCGGGAGGAGACCGCTGTTACCCTAGAGGGAGCAGACGTCCTGATTCCCGGGATGAGACCGCTGTTACCCTAGAGGGAGCAGACGTCCTGATTCCCGGGAGGAGACCGCTGTTACCCTAGAGGGAGCAGACGTCCTGATTCCCGGGAGGAGACCGCTGTTACCCTAGAGGGAGCAGACGTCCTGATTCCCGGGATGAGACCGCTGTTATCCTAGAGGGAGCAGACGTCCCGATTCCCGGGATGAGACCGCTGTTACCCTAGAGGGAGCAGACGTCCCGATTCCTGGGATGAGACCGCTGTTACCCTAGAGGGAGCAGACGTCCTGATTCCCGGGATGAGACCGCTGTTACCCTAGAGGGAGCAGACGTCCCGATTCCTGGGATGAGACCGCTGTTACCCTAGAGGGAGCAGACGTCCTGATTCCCGGGATGAGACCGCTGTTACCCTAGAGGGAGCAGACGTCCCGATTCCTGGGATGAGACCGCTGTTACCCTAGAGGGAGCAGACGTACTGATTCCCGGGATGAGACCGCTGTTACCCTAGAGGGAGCAGACGTCCTGATTCCCGGGATGAGACCGCTGTTACCCTAGAGGGAGCAGACATCCTGATTCCCGGGAGGAGACCGCTGTTACCCTAGAGGGAGCAGACGTCCTGATTCCCGGGATGAGACCGCTGTTACCCTAGAGGGAGCAGACGTCCTGATTCCTGGGATGAGACCGCTGTTACCCTAGAGGGAGCAGACGTACTGATTCCCGGGATGAGACCGCTGTTACCCTAGAGGGAGCAGACGTCCTGATTCCCGGGATGAGACCGCTGTTACCCTAGAGGGAGCAGACATCCTGATTCCCGGGAGGAGACCGCTGTTACCCTAGAGGGAGCAGACGTCCTGATTCCCGGGATGAGACCGCTGTTACCCTAGAGGGAGCAGACGTCCTGATTCCCGGGATGAGACCGCTGTTAATTCTGTTTAATCCAAGGGGAGGCTGTATAACAAGGTGATCACTCTATTGTAGTAGTATTGTGTTGACAAAGTGGGGAAGGGGGAGTGCTAAGAGAACGCTGCTAGCAGGTGCTCAATATAAAAGTTCGTGTGAAGAAGAGTGTGCAAATCTCCTATAGAAGTGATCCCCTAATCCTGAATGAATGATCTGATTAGCAGGCCAGATGTGATCACGAGTTGTGCAGTCTTTCTTGAGAAATAACAAACGTGCTAAGTTGTACACATGCTGAGCAGTACATTCACGTTAATCTGCGGTTTTAACTGGGAGACTAATTACTATCACAGAATAGAACTCTTCTTATTTTAGGCATACAATAGTATTTAGTAAACATCCGTTGTTCTTTGAAATAAAAAGGGCATCACATAACCAAGCTAATGTTTTATTTGGAGTAATGGTCCACCAGGTGGTATAGGTAGATTCCACCTATACCATTTGGTCCGGTAAGTACCTTAATCACTAAAGAGCTTTATATAAGGAGATAATAATTTTTATTTCAAAATTCAAATAAACTTTACATCAATGTATTACAGTAATATTTAGAAAAGTCCACAATATCTCCTGTGAGGCAAAAACATGGAAAAAGAGAGCTAGAAAAATATTCATGAGACTCAACACTACCAGACTGCAGCTGGAGAACATTATGTAAACATCATAGTAAAATTTATTTCGGCTGAACCAAAACACGGTGGTAAAAACCATAATTACATTGGTGCCGACCCTACATAAAATCATTAATAAATAATCAAGAGAACAAATTAAAATGTATACTATACCTTCTTGCTACTACTTCACAGACTTACACGACATAACAACAGAATAACATATTTATATATTATAATATACCAATCTATCTAACCATTCCATTGGATCAAAAGAGAAAATAAAGGAGCAGAGGAGAAAATATTATTTTTATACAAGGCGCAGATTAATCAAGTTAACATTACATTACACCATAACATAAAGTTAGTCAGTAATATGTTTTATGATGTGTACAGGATATAATTTTGAAAAGACTTAAAGGTCACAGGGGGGGGGGGGGGCTCAGTACAGTGGGCAAGCCATAACCTGCCCGGCACGCAGCCCCCCCCCCCCCCCCCTCAACACTGCAACCCGTACCTTATTATAAACATATAATTATAGTTAATGTTAAATTCGGCATTATTACATCATTTAGTTAAGCAATAGTGGCTAGTATAATCACTCATGACAAGGACTGGCTGGTGGGTATACTGACCATGCAACCTATATCTCATTATATATAATAATTATACAGCGTCATATAGGGTCTTAACTATTATTAAACTAAAGGGTTCTTAGCCAACCTATATAAAAGGTTTTTAGACTAGCCATATAATACGTTAATTTATCACATTTGCAATAATTATTTGAATGGTGTATTGTCAGTGGAGCGTACTGCTTAAATTAAACGTTTTTCAATTTATTAAAACTATTGTTATATTTTATATTATAATTATAACTTGGTGGTCGGTATGTTACCATGACGATAACCCTGGTAACCACTCTTGTTACCGTAGCAACTACCCTTGTTACCGTAGCAACTACCCTGCTAGCCATGGTAACAGTGTGTACTCCTTCATATCAGGTTGCAGGTGTGCGAGCATGGTATCCAGTGGGTGGGATTAACACGTGACAATTACTTGTACTGTGGAACATCACGTGATCTGAGTGTCTGGTCCATCAACTTCCTCGCTCACTTCTTCTCTCAGGTTACCATAGTTACCATAGTTAACATAGTTAACATAGTTACCATAGTTACCATAGTAACATCTTCTGTCAGGTTAGCTGCTCATTTAATTTGTATGTTCTAACTTCCGTCCGAATGTTCCAGATGAAGTATTGCCATGAGTCCCTACAATAATAATTAATATTATAGTAGAGACAAGTTGCAATTAATATGTTGCAACTTGCAGTTAACAAAAAAGTAAAATTGTGCAGTATTGTTTTTCATACATATTATATTATGTTAATATTATGGTGCTGATATGATTTTTCAAGAAACAGTGATGAATTCTGTCCTGCCTGCCTACTATTCATTAAATTAAGAATCTGTTATTGAATCTGTAATTCGATTAATTAATTTAAGTTAATAAATGTTCCAATACAATACTCCACACAGACACGTGTACCAGTCAGTAAGATCAGTCCAGTAATGCACTGTAACACTAAGAAGACCCCACGTGTCGTGGTGCTGGGAGAGGACAGCTCAGTTAGACTTCTTTCAGCTCTCAGTGGTAAAGGTATATCTACAATACTACCCCCTCCTGACATCAGTCCTCTTAACAAGGTCAGTTTTATATTGTTTATATCTTAGTTACCATAGTTACCATAGTTACTATAGTTACCATAGTTACTATAGTTACCATAGTTACCATAGTTACCATAGTTACCATAGTTACCATAGTTACCATAGTTACCATAGTTACCATAGTTACTATAGTTACTATAGTTACCATAGTTACCATAGTTACCATAGTTACCATAGTTACCATAGTTACCATAGTTACCATAGTTACCATAGTTACCATAGTTACCATAGTTATCATAGCTATAGTTACCATAGTTACCATAGTTACCATAGTTACCATAGTTACCATAGTTACCATAGTTACCATAGTTACCATAGTTACCATAGTTACTATAGTTACTATAGTTACTATAGTTACCATAGTTACCATAGTTACCATAGTTACCATAGTTATCATAGTTACTATAGTTACTATAGTTACCATAGTTACTATAGTTACTATAGTTACCATAGTTACCATAGTTACCATAGTTACTATAGTTACCATAGTTACCATAGTTACCATAGTTACCATAGTTACCATAGTTACCATAGTTACCATAGTTATCATAGCTATAGTTACCATAGTTACCATAGTTACCATAGTTACCATAGTTACCATAGTTACCATAGTTACCATAGTTACCATAGTTACCATAGTTACCATAGTTACCATAGTTACCATAGTTAGATTAGTTACTATAGTTACCATAGTTACTATAGTTACCATAGCTACCATAGTTACCATAGTTACCATAGCTACCATAGTTACCATAGTTAGATTAGTTACTATAGTTACCATAGTTACTATAGTTACTATAGTTAATATAGTTACTATAGTTACTTTAGTTACTATAGTTAATATAGTTACTATAATTACTATAGTTACTATAGTTACCATAGTTACCATAGTTACTATAGTTACCACAGTTACCATAGTTACCATAGTTACTATAGTTACTATAGTTACTATAGTTACCATAGTTACCATAGTTACCATAGCTACCATAGTTACCATAGTTAGATTAGTTACTATAGTTACCATAGTTACCATAGTTACCATAGTTACCATAGTTACCATAGTTACCATAGCTACCATAGTTACCATAGTTAGATTAGTTACTATAGTTACCATAGTTACCATAGTTATCATAGCTATAGTTACCATAGTTACCATAGTTACCATAGTTACCATAGTTACCATAGTTACCATAGTTACCATAGCTACCATAGTTACCATAGTTAGATTAGTTACTATAGTTACCATAGTTACTATAGTTACTATAGTTAATATAGTTACTATAGTTACTTTAGTTACTATAGTTAATATAGTTACTATAATTACTATAGTTACTATAGTTACCATAGTTACCATAGTTACTATAGTTACCACAGTTACCATAGTTACCATAGTTACTATAGTTACTATAGTTACTATAGTTACTATAGTTACCACAGTTACCATAGTTACCATAGTTACTATAGTTACTATAGTTACCATAGTTACCATAGTTACCATAGTTACCATAGCTACCATAGTTCTGCCGTTTTCTGACAAAAGTGCTTAAGTAACATTTTGGAAATTTCGGGTTTTTTGGTCTAACTTTTGTTTTTGGGTCAAGAACTATCCCTGAGGACCATTGGATACATTCGCCGACCCCCCAAAACCCCCTTTTTGGAACCCCCTAAAATGCAAAAAATGGTCATTTTTCTGAGAAAAGTGCTTAAGTAACATTTTGGAAAACGGGTGCCGTTTATTTCAAAAATGGTGCCATTTTGGGAACTGAAAATGGTGGCATTGTTTTCTACGTCAAAAACTGGCCTAGTGACGGCAATTTGGTGATTGTGGGTCTTTTGGCCTGGGAAAAAACAATTTATGTCACTTAAGCACTTTTGTGAAAACGGGCTCGTTTTCTCACAAAAGTGCTTAAGTGCCATTATACGTTTAATTAAATGTTGATTCTGCCAACTGAAACTATATAATCGGTACTAACAAATCTAAATTTTCACGGCGGATCGATTGGTGATGGTCATAAACTTCAGAAACGCTAGCTTCGCCGTCAAAATTGCCGATTTGTCAATGCAGATTGCAGAACGTTTCAAAATATACGTCATAATTTGCTTTAAAATTTTGTATTCTCTTATAAGTTGAGACTGGCGGGATTATCGACAGGCAAGGGAACATTACCAAAGAGATAGAAGCGATTTGCCTCACTGCTCCTTCTCTGTTGATATGGAGAAAGTTCTTTTACTACCACACATGCCGGAGTACAAGGAGGCGATTTTTACAAGACGCCTTGTCACATTTAACGAGACCTTCGCAAGGCTGGGGTCAGACGGAGCTCCTTTGCTTTAGCGATTCTTTGGAATGAGTCAATCGCAGGAAGGAAAGATGAGAATGTGTCCTCGACTTGGATAAGGGCAATAAAACATTTTGCCGCAGGCAAGATTGGTGGTAGCAGGGAGATCATTTTTTGGGCAGACAATTGTTCTGCTCAAAACAAGTGTTTGACTTTATTTACTGCCCTATGTTCAATTATCAACAGCCCAGATGTTGACCTGGACAAGATAACGGTCAAATATTTAGAACCATGGCACACCTTTATGAGTGCAGACTCATTCCACCATAAAGTGGAGTTGTCCATATAAACAATCAGGTCAACTTCATGATTATAAGAGACTTATAAGGACTTTGTTCAGGCAGTTGAACAGGTGGGTACTGCGATAAGCATGAACTGCATAGACTTTGAATCGTGGCCAAGGTCCTACAGAACAAGCAATCGTTGTAAAACTAAGAGACCTCTCTTAAAAGATGTTAAAGTTGTAGTTTTCCAGCGTGGGTCTGTAGAAATGGAATGGAAAACAAATAATGACGAGGTTTCCTTTCATTCCACTCCATTTCTCAGACAAAAAGACGAGAGACTCATTTCCATAGGTTGCAAAATAGCTTTCGCCCAGGAAGAGCCCCGGGGGATAGCTACTCCCAAAAAACAAGATATTATACGTAAACTGTGCAGGCTTATGGCCCCGAGTAGTAGGGTATTCTGGATGAACTTGCCTGATAGTACAGATATAACAGATCTTAATCGAGTGTTTGACTAAAAATCATCTATTTCTTGTATTATTTACCAGTTATTTATGTACAGTATTACTTACAATTATGTTACATTTTTATACGCTTGTTTTTCTTTGCCTCGCGTTACGATATGAATAATTCGCAAATCCTTGGTCTTTATGAAGAAAGCCTCATCTGAGTTCTTAATTTAATTTCTAAAGAAAGAAACTTATTTATTATTATCCCGTACTTTCACCATTCAACTCTTCGTTGAAATGCTGGTAGAATTCCGACTATTTTTTAATCCACTGGGGAGAAAGGAGTGTTTTCGTTTTCTTAAACAAACACCAATCAATTTGTCGTAAAATTTTAGGTCAGAATGATCGCAGATAAAGTTCCCACTAATGTGGCTGTACTTAAGCACTTTTGTCAGAAAACGAAATTTTCAAATTTTATATTTCAGCGTGTCCCCTTTCACAACCAATGTTTCATCACAACAGTTTAAGGCTAATTTTTCGCTTTACTTTCGATGACCAATGGTTTGAACGGGTCATTTTCATCAGAACATGGAGCTTTTGCCGATGTGGCTGTACTTAAGCACTTTTCTCAGAAAACGAAATTTCAAATTTTCTATTTCAGCGTGTCCCCTATTTACAACCAATGTTTCATCACAACAGTTTTAGGCTAATTTTTCGTTTTACTTTCGATGACCAATGGTTTGAACGGGTCATTTTCATCAGAACATGTAGTATTTGCCGATGTGACTGTACTTAAGCACTTTTCTAAGAAATTCGAACTATAATTTGTAGTTTTGAGGCACTTTCCGAGAAGTTAGGATGATGAAACCTTGTCAGAAGTCTCAAAAGTCGACAAAGTACCTTAGAAACATAGTGGGTGCAGTTTAAATTTGACAGCAGCTAGCCCAGAGCAATTACAGAATTGAAATTTTTAAAGTCAATTTGCACAAAATGAACCTTGTGTTACTTAAGCACTTTTGTCAGAAAACGGCAGAGTTACCATAGTTACCATAGTTACTATAGTTAACAGTTACCATACTTAACATACTTACCATAGTTACTATAGTTAACAGTTACCATACTTAACATACAGGGTGGCCCAAAAGTGACTACCCACACGCAACCTCTTAATAACTCACGTAATTCGTCTTCAAATTGCACCAAAATTTCAGAGATTATAGATATGGGTCAAACTTAGATTTCCTGAAAGTTTCGTAAGCCACGCCCAATTACAGTGGGCGTGGCGTGACACTCCCTCTTTTTCACTATTGTCTTCATAAAATGAGAACGCTTTAAGCTAAGAACTCCAAATTTTTTGCACACATTTGGCTTGATAATTTAAAACCTTTCCCAAAGTTTCAAGTTCATTGTTCAAAATTTGGCTGAGTTATGACCATTTCAAAATTCATCGGAAACGTGATCCGAGCACTCAGTCAGTGATCTCTGCACTTGGTTAATGGCCTGTTTGGCTCACATGCACCGCTTGATTGGTTGCAGGGCTTAGCCCTGCTAGTCACAGGTTCGTTCCTTACAATCGATAAAAAGGAATGAACTATCCATTGAATCATCGAAAATGGTTCACTATCCTCCCTATACTGCGGAACAACGATTGTTTGTCTACCTGAAGAAAGAGAATGGGGAGTTCTGTCCTCAGCTTAAACGACAATTTCAAATGAAATTCAACCGACCATCTCCTTGCCGGAAAAGCTGCTTTGATATGCATTACAAGATCAAGTTAACTTTTTCTGCAAACGATCGGCGAAGAGTCGGCAGAAGACGAACTGCGAGGACCGAAGAAAACATCACCATGGTTGTTTGTGACGTGATGGATACACCTAAAATTGGCACCCGAAAACGAGCTCCTGCCTTAGACCTCAGCAGAACATCCCTTCAACGAATCCTAAAGCGAGATCTTTCTAACCGGGCCT